AGGTGATGAACACAATAGTGTTCTCCCTGTTTCCTTCCCTTCCCCAAGAATTGGTATTTAGAGAAGGAAGTCATATATAGCCATCAGGTCTGGAGCCATTCATAGCCTTATTCTCCATGACACTGTCTAATTCTCTTTAAAGGTCCTTCTTGTTACGTTCCTTGACTAAAAATTATTTTAGTTAGTCATTTGCTGAAAAGGTGAGATCAAAAGTAGAACAGGAAATCTAAAAGAACATGTTCTCATGGGCCCTCATTACAGAACAGTCCAACCTCTTTGATGGTACAGATTCCCCACTTCTAAAAACTCAATCTGTTTTGTAGGTTTATAGTCTAAGTAGGTGGTCCATAGTCCAAACATGTTGACTAGAGATGGAGATATATGTATATGAATAACCCTGCACCAATCGCTCCCAGAGCTCCGCTCGGCTAGCCACTCCTGGCAATAGGAGGGAGGACAAGTCTGAGTCACTAGCTGAGCAGTGCTCTGGGAGTGATTGGAAGGAAGAGAGGGGCCACCACCGGCAGATGCATGAGTGGATGGTCCGGCCCCAAGGACTGGACCCTTGTTAAGTCTGTGTGGATGTATTTGTATTTGTATACATCTCTAATCTTGACACCTGGAAGTGAGATGCCTCCTCTGCTCACACCACAAACTGCCCTTGGAGTGACAAATATAGCTGTACATATTCTGTAGCATGTGATTTTACTCACCTGTTTTGTAACTCAAACTCTATCTCCAGCTCCTCATGGTCCTAAAATTAAAAAAAAACCACAACTGAATGAATACAAAGACTTTTCAACAGTCTAACCTCTCCAGTTTGGACGTGTACTATGCATGCAGTTTGCAATCTCAGTAAACTAATGGATAATAGTAAATGCGTGGATGTAGTTTAGAATTTTCTGTGAAATATTTGTATTGTTTAAGATACAGAACCTAAAATTTCAGTCTTTCTGAACCTTGATGAGGTAATTGGTTACTCTGGATGAAACCTAATAGAACTATTATCACCTGAACAGACCTTTTCCTCTCTATGACTCTGGCACGTCCTTAAACAAATACCGTGTTTCCCTGAAAATAAGACAGGGTCGTATATTAATTTTTGCTCCAAAAAACACAAAATTTCAGGAAATTTTTTATTTTACAGTCATGTCATCTTCTGGTTGCTGCACAATGGTGGAGGGTGGGGTTTCACTTAGCTAGGGCTTACCGTATTTGCCGGCGTATAAGACAACTTTTTTGGCCCAAAAACATGCCTCCAAGTGGGGGGGAGTCGTCCTATACACCGGGTGCACTTCAGTTGGGCCAGGGAAGGAGCCACCACCGCAGCTGTTGAGTGAGTGACGCGGGGCTGCGCCGGCCGGGGAGGTAGGCAGGCAGGCAGGTGGTCAGTCCGGAGGGAGGGAGGGAAGCAGAGCCAGCCATGCCTGAGTGGCCAGACCCTGCCGCCGGGCTGCCTGCTGCGCCGCTGAGCCAGCTGCCTGCTCTCCTGCCCACTGCCGGATAGCCGCTATGTAAATGTAAGTTAAAACCTGGAGGACAATCAAATTGTAGAAAAGTGGAAAATCAATTTGATATTGCAACATGAATAGATTGGATGTCAGTACATTTTATGTTCTCCTCCCCTCCTTTTTCTCCCCCTTTACCTTCTGTACCCCTTCTCACAAGTTTTTTATAATTAAAAAATGTAGATCATACAGTGCTACTTTTAAATGGTTTTAATGGATGTGTGGCGATTAACAGGCTAAATACCTAAAGGGCCAGGTCATCTTTAGCCATCACACGGCACCATCAGACTTTGTGGTGGGTCATCTTTAGCCATCAGTACAGCACCACAGGTGCCATGCATTCCTTTTCCCTATCTCCCCAGCTGCATCCTCCAACTCACCATCTGGCTCATTCTCCTCTCCTCCTCTTCTTCAGCTGTTCAACCAGTCTCCAGCAGGAGCATGGGCTTCCCTGTACCACCTCCTTAGCTGATCGCCCTCTTATCCAAGGACACATGCTCCTGCCGGGGACTGCTTGAACAGCTGAAGGAGAGTACACTCCAGGTGGTGAGTGAGTCATTGGCCAGAAAGGCATGGAAGGGAATGAACAAGACCTGTGGTGCCATATGTACAAGCTGGCGCAAACCTCCGAACTAAGGTTCATGCCCATCTCTAAGGTCTTAAGATAATCTTCCTCCCAAAATTTAGCACCACCATTTTAAATATCTCACCTGATGAAGGGAATATATCCCCAGAAACGTGTATACTTTTGTATGCCTCTACACACATTTTGCATTTTTTTTGGTGGCCATATGGAGTTTGGACTGTAAAGCAGTTTATACCTTTGGCCCTGTTTTGTGTTTGTGGAATGGCATGGCAGCCACCAGGGATACGCATGCAATCCATGTCCCACAGCTCCCTGATTAGGTCTTGGTGAGAAAGAAATCATGAGGAAGGAAAATAGAAGAGATCCATTTCTAGCTTCCCCTATTGAACAGCCAATAGGTGGCACTGTAACATTTAAAAAGAGATATGTATGCCAAATTCAGGATTCAAACTAGCCTATGGCTTATCACATTTTCTGTAAAAATGTTCCACCAGGAGTCAAAAGTCACCTACTTGCCATAGCATGAGGTTTCCCTCACTTCTGAATCTTGCATTTAGCGTGCTTCCTGCTGCAATAGTCATTTGAAGGCATCTCTTGTATAGGGATATTCAGCATACCCCTGCACTTACAACCAAACTGGTTCTTGAATGATGAACACAAAGCAGTCCATTGTAACTTGAACCTTTTTTCCCCCCTGTAGGTGTAATGTTACGAATAGGGATTTTGTTCTGCAAATGATTTCGCATCAGTTGACATGAAAATAAAGGGGGAAAGCGAAGGCTTTCCTTAAGCCTTTTGATGATTGAACACTAAGCACATCCCATCTTTTCTCCTCAGACACAGTGAAAGGCAGGAAAAGTCTGTGCAGCTGCTGACTGAGTCAGCTGGCATGCTACCAGTTGTCTTGTTGCCAACCCTAGTTATCAGGTGGTTATAAATAACAAGTCAGGATGTCATTGGGGGTATTGTCCACAACCACAAGGCTCTGCAGAGCTGGAGGTTGCATGCTGAGTTTTTGGAAATCAAGTGCCTGTGGAAATCTCATTGTGAGAAGGAAAACAGTTCAACCATGGGGAAAAGGTAGTAATGTTTTTGGAGAGGGAAACTGTATGCTCCTCATCTTGTCTAGCTAGGAAAACCACAGTTCTTGAGAATGGTACCAAAGCTGGACATTGCCTTGCAGGGGGTAGGACAGAAAAGGGAGAGGGATCAAAAAGAATTTTGTTGCATTCAAATGTTTTGATAAAAGTGGCCGTTTTGCATCACCTGGTATTTAATCACAAGACAAAATAAATGTTGCTTTTGATATCCACAACTTTGAAAGGCTTATAGTCTGTTTTGGAGGAGATAAAAATATGCCCCAAATGATGTTTCTGTTTAAAAATTTGAATGGCTAGAATGAATAACGTGCCCAAACTTGTGAAACTACCTTTATAATTAAAGGGGTGTAGTTACTAGTGTGTAGTAAAAGTGCGCAACTTCATGTTGTTGCCTTGTTTGGCCATGGCTGTGGAGCTGATGACAAGATAGACCTTTGGGTAGTGTGGGCAGCATATAAATAAAAAAATAAATAAACAAACAAACAAACAAACAAACAAATAAATAAATAAGGTAGACAGGAGGTGAGTTTTGAACCACAGGCCAGCAGCTTGTAGCACTCAGATTTTTTTTTCTCTAAAGGGAACTTATAAAGCAACTGCTTTCTTTTCTTTTTAAAATTATAACTGTAGCAGTCACTATTTAGGGGCCTTTGAAGTATAACTACCTACTTTTTCCACAAACAATCTGTTTCTTCATTTGTGAAAAAGCAGATTGTAATTCACAAAAGTTCACACTGGAATAAATTTATTTGTCTTAAAGGGGACAAAATACTGCTGTGTTGGTTTTTTTGAATTTGTTTTGTTTTCTGTGTTTGTTTTTGCACAAACAAAAACAAGCTAACTCACTAATAATTACTTCTTAAAAGTAACATCCCAAGTCCGAAAAGTGGGGTGCCTTTGTCCAACTTTTAATAATAATAATGATGTGCCCTCAAGTCAGTTCTGACTTATGGCAACCTTTTTCAGGGTTTTCTGGATAAAGAGTACTGCAAAGAATTTTACCATTCCCTTCCTCTGGGAGTGCCCTGGGACTGTGCAGCTTGGCCACGGCTACACAGCCTGGCACTTCTCCCAGGAGGCACAGTGGACAGTCGAACTCCCAACCTCTGCCTTAGCAGCCAAGTACTCCATGGAGGAAGGCAAGGCTTGGCCAAGTATTGGTCCACAGTCATTCTGTCAACTCCATGGCTGGTCTCGGAGATGAACCAGTTTCTTCAGCCAAAGTTCAATATAGTAACCACTGTGTTGTTTCTGTCAGGCTGCTACACTTTGATTGGGATTCCTAGTATGGTGCAGTGGACAGAGTAATGAACAGAGACTCAGGAGAACTGGGTTTGAATCCCTCCTCGGCCATGGAAACTCGCTGCAGATGCTGAACTGGTAAAACCACTCCTTAAAACCACTTAAAACTGGTAAAACCACTCACTTACCTTGAACGTCCTGTTAGGATGGCTGTAAGTCAGTTCCAATTTGAAGACATTTTTTAAAAAAATACTTTGCATATCAACTCATGCTGATAGAGTAGTATTTAATAAACAACTACTCTTAGTAGTTGTTTATTATAGCAACACAGGTCCCTGTATTTTTTGACTCTGATGACTGGTGTTGCTAAAATAATGGGGGTTGTCATGGTTATCTCCTGCCAATACATTACTCAGAAACAAGCAATTTGTAATACAAATAGGTTGCCAAATGTTATTTCACTTAATTGATCATTGAAATTACAGATTACATGTCCATCGAAGGGACAGATCATGGGATTCAGATATTTAGGCAATGTCACACAAACACTGTAAACATGTTTGGCCGAAACAAGGCCCTCCAAGTTTCTCTCTTTAGTAAGCCTGTTCAGGATTTCAGCCTTTACTCATTTTACTTGGGATTCCATTCCACTAAACTTAAAAGCCTGACACAGAATACTATGAAACACTCAGCCATACTTTCTACTGACCTTTGGATTGCAGTTAAAGCACATGAGAACTTTTTCGTTCATTGGGAGTCCAGCTACATCAAAGCACACAGTGAAGAGAAGTTCATCTTGGCAGACATCCTCATCGTAGACACTGAGCTCCAGCACGTTCTGATAGGAGAAGCGTTTGTAATTAGGCTATCCCAGGTCAAAAAGGATAAGTATAAAAGTGATAGGATCCACCAAAATTGAATCATGGATATGATTAAAAGCAGATGTTTTTATTACATCTAATATGTACTCAACTGAAGGACAGAACTTGCAGTACCAGACACCTCTGTTAGAGATAGGCACTAACACACACAAAAAAGGAACAAAGTAGTTCATCAAAAATTGCTGATTTTTTGATTGGTTTGGGTTCATTAAAAGCGACTAACTAAAATGAACCAAACCAACAAACTTTTAAAGAGGTTTTTGATTTGCTTTTGTCCATTATCTCCCCCCCTCATCCCCACAGCCTGCCCTCACCCCTTTCTTGCTGCTCCTCAACCCCTACTTGGTCCTGCCTCCTCCTCATCTTCCATCATCATCCCAATGACAGAAGCACGGCCTTCCAATCACCCAGATGCTGCCTTCTGTGCATGTGCTGAAGACCCAGCTGATCAGAGATATCAGCTGTGTCACCAGAGTCCCAGCTGATATCTCTAATAAATTGGGTCCACAGAGCATGCTCATGCACAGAGATAGCAAGCCTGGCTCTTGGAAGCCAGGCCTCTGTCTCTGTGCATGGCCATGCCTGTCAGCTGACAGGCATGGCATGTGCAGAAAGAGTGGCCCAGCTCCCAGAAGGGAAGCCAAGCCTCTGGTCTATGAAGATGGCAGTGGCAGAGAAGGAGGTGGCAGCACAAGGTAAGGAGGCGATGGGGGCAGTGAGATGGGGAAAGGTGGGTGGCAGAGGTGGTGGTGGGTTTAGTTTCCCCTTCTCCTAGGCATGAACCTTTTTTAAAAAAATGAACTGCTCTGTGGTTCTTTTTTTAAAAAGTTCAGAAAGTTTGTGGTTCATGTGTAGCCACGAATCATAAACTACCATTTTTCTGGTTCGTGCCCATGTCTAACCTCTGCCTTTGGTCTACCTCTAGCTCTTCACACATTCATGAAGTTGCCAGGCAGAACATACCTCCATCAATGCGATAGAGCAGTGGTTCTTAACCTTTGTTACTCGGATGCTTTTGAACTGCAACTCCCAGAAACCCCAGTCAGGACAGCTGGTGGTGAAGGCTTCTGGGAGTTGCAGTCCAAAACTCCTGAGTAACCCAAGGTTAAGAACCAGTGCGATAGAGCACCTGCTCAGGATTTATGGCCACTCTGGATCATTTCCCTGCACCTCTAGCTGTGACTTGGGGCTGGCCCTACCATTAGGCAAAAGGAGGTAGCTGTGTCAGGCAGCATGAATGGTTTAATTTGCTATTGTTGTATTTTTATTGTTGAGGAGGAGGGGAAACATTTGTGAGATTTTTTTTCCCTCTGGGTTCCCAAAATATCTCAGATGACCTCAGATAGTCAAAGATTCCTTGATTAGTGAGGAATGCTATTTGCTGTTCCACCTCTAGATACTGCTGTCCATCCATTCAGGATTGCTGCTGGTCTGGTGACCCAGGAGGACTTACAGATTGAAAAACAATAACATTTCATGACAATAAAATTTCACCATGTATGTATGAGGAAAAATAAAGCAAAATGTGGCACTTTAAAGACTTATGGGCTTATTTTGGAGTTGGGTTTTGTGGATTACATTTCCTCAGGCAGTATCTGCAAAACGTCTCACTGAACTAAATCTGTCAGCCTTTAAGGCACCACAGTTCTTTCGTTTTTATTTTTATTATTTTTATTATACATGCTGGCAACAGGCTAACATGCCTGGGTCTTTGAAAAGAAGTAAAATTTCATTAGTTTAAAAGTCAGACATACTTTCTACTTTCTATGTAACAATATTTCAGATTTCTGAAAAATCAGGTCTGAACAAGAATATAGGAATGTTCTGGCGCACCAGTTAGAAAAATTAAGCAGTTCCCGACCTTTGCTTTGCACTGGACCAGGAAATGAAAGGTTTCATTCCAGACCGGGTCTCTGGAATTCTGAACGGTTTTTGTTTGGAATCGTGTAGAAGAAGCTGTTGGCAGCCACAGGCTTAAGTAGCAATCAGAATGGCTTACTGTTGGGGAAAATAAGAAAGTAAATAATTTTTTAAAAAAAGAGTGGCCTTGGCTGCTAGATGGGCAGTACATAAATCAATGAAAGAAAGAAAGAAAGAAAGAAAGAAAGAAAGAAAGAAAGAAGAAAGATAAAGAGAGAGAGAGAGAGAAAGAAAGAAAGAAAGAAAGAAAGAAAGAAAGAAAGAAAGAAAGAAAGAAAGAAAGAAAGAAAGAAAGAAAGAAAGAAAGAAAGAAAGAAAGAAAGAAAGAAAAGCACACCTCAGAGCCCACCAGAGGGCCTCTGCGCAGGTCTTTATTTATTTTATTTATTTATTTAATTTATACCCCGCCTATCTGGACTACCAGACCACTCTAGGCAGCTTCCAATACAGCCCTCTAGTGGGCTGACAGGCCAGCTGCTCAGGAAAAAAAATATACAGATTTTGTAATTTTTAAAATTCTTAATTTATTCTTTTTTAGCACCAGGGGACTTCTGAGAGGTGGGGACATCTGCAGAGGCCCCCAGTCTGGCTGACAGGCCAGCTTACTACTACTACTACTACTACTACTACTACTACTACATCATCGTCGTCATCATCATCATCATCATCATCATCATCATCATCATCATCATCATCATCATCATCATCATCATCATCGTTGTTGTTGTTGTTGTTATTGTTATTGTTATTGTTATTTAACTGAAAACTCCCTACACACAACTGAATAGAAAGGGAACTTAAAAAGTCAAGAGGCACAAAAGATCAGTTGCTTATTGATAAAATGATCCTGAAGAATGCAAAAAGATGAAAAACATGGCCTGGATAGACCATTAAAAAGCATTTAACTCATTGCCACACAGCTGTTTGAGATTAGTAAAAACATTCTGAAGTTCCTCAAGAAAAGCATGGAAAAAGAAAACGGTCCTAATGGCACATGGTGAAGAAATTGGGGAAGTTAACATCAAAAGAGGAATATTTCAGGGAGATTCTGTGTCACCATGGCTGTTTAACATCTCACTAATTCCCATATCAATAATTTTAAATACAACTGAATTGGACTACCATATTTTACAACAAGCTGGAAAAATCAATCATCTCTTATACATGGATGACCTAAAACTATATGCAAAAAGTTCCATGGAGATAGAATCACTGCTAAACACAATGCAACTATTTAGTGAAGCTATCCAAATGAAATCTGGAACTGACAAATGTGCAGCTCTGTCTATATACTGTGGCAAGTTCCAAAAACCAGATGGAATAAAGTTTAAAAAATGGCAATATTATACAATCACTCTCAAGTGATGAAAACTATACTCTAAATACCTTGGAATACAAGAAGCAGATAACATTGTGCACACAAAAGTTAAAAAACTGACAGAAAGGGAATATATCAAAAGTCTGAGGAAAATCTTAAAGTCAAAATTGAAATACTGTACAATCAAAGCCTTAAACACCTGGGCAGTTCCAGTAATTAGACACCCAACTGGAATTGTACTCAAAACAAGAAGAAATGGATTGAAAAACACGGAAACTGATGAACATGCATCATGATGGACAGATTATATTTACCACAAAAAGTCAGAGGCCATGAACTACTGCAAATACAGGAGGTAGTAGAGGAGGGGAAAAAGAGAAGTCTAAATGATTACCATATTTTACCATGTATACAACCCCCCATATTTTTCCATAATCAAAGCCTTAAACACCTGGGCAGTTCCGGTAATTAGACATCCAACTGGAATAATAGATTGGACTCAAACAAATTAGAAGAAATGGATAAAGCAGTCAATGGGCAGCCGTGAGGGGTGGCCCAGGGATGGCTGTACCTCCACCTTCTGCAGCTGCTGCCACCACCTAAACACGGAAACTGATGAACATGCATCATGATGGACAGCTTATATTTACCACGAAAAGTCAGAGGCCATGGACTACTGCAAATACAGGAGGTAGTAAAGGAGGGGAAAAAGAGAAGTCTAAATGATTACCATATTTTCCCATGTATACGACCCCCAATGTATAAGACAACCCCAATTTTGACCCTTGCCAGAGGTGGAGGAACAGTCAATGGGCAGTTATGAGCGGTGGCCCAGCGCGGCTGCACCTCCACCTTCTGCTGCTGCCGCCGCCAACCATTCACTTCATCCAGCTCATGTTGCCGCCTTGTCTCCTGCTCGAAGGGAACCCGCAAGTGGCACTGGAAGAGGTGATCCAGTGGCGGCGGCAGTCAATGAGCAGCCACGAGAGTCGGAGGCAAAAGAGAAGTCTAAATGATTACCATATTTTCCCATGTATACGACCCCCAATGTATAAGACAACCCCAATTTTGACCCTTGCCAGAGGTGGAGGAACAGTCAATGGGCAGTTATGAGCGGTGGCCCAGCGCGGCTGCACCTCCACCTTCTGCTGCTGCCGCCGCCAACCATTCACTTCATCCAGCTCATGTTGCCGCCTTGTCTCCTGCTCGAAGGGAACCCGCAAGTGGCACTGGAAGAGGTGATCCAGTGGCGGCGGCAGTCAATGAGCAGCCACGAGAGTCGGAGGCAGCCACACTTGGCTGCCTCTCGTGGCTGCCCATTGGCTGCTGCTGGAATTGCCTCCTCCAACGTCATTTGCGGCCTTGCTTTGGGCAGCGGACAAGGCGGCAATATGAGCTGGAGGAGGTGACTGGGCAGGTGCGGCAGTAGCAGCAGTAGGCAGAGGAGCCCAGCTCATGTTGCCGCCTTGTCTCCTGCTGGAACGGAGCCCGCGAGCGGCACTGGAAGAGGTGATCCAGTGGCAGCGTCAGTCAATGAGCAGCCACAAGAGGCGGAGGCAGCCATGCTTGGCTGCCTCTCGCAGCTGCCCATTGGCTGCTGCTAGAATTGCCTCCTCCAACACCATTTGCGGGCTTGCTTTGGGCAAGGCACAAGGCGGCAATGTGAGCTGGAGGAGGTGACTGGGCAGCTGCGGCAGCAGCAGTAGGCAGAGGAGTAATCGCTCTGGGCCACCCCTCATGGCTGCCCATTGATTGCCACTGCCTGATCACCTTCTCCAGCACCAGTGCCAGGGCTCACCTGCAGCTCACATCGCTGCCTTATCCCCTGCCCGAAGGGAGCCCGCGAGTGGCGCTGGATGAAGCAAGTGTCATTTTATACATGGAAAAATATGGTATATCAGTACAAACAGAAAAATTACTTAAGGCAGTTAAAATGGAGAATATTTTGAAAACAACAATACAAAGGCTCAATATAAGAAACAACAATTTGAAAATAAATTAAACATCTGGAAAAGTAAACCACTACATGGACAACACCTGAGAAATATTGATGGAAAGCATGATCATAATTCAACATGGTCATGGCTAAAACTGGGGACCCTTCAGAAAGAAACAGAAGGCTTGATTTTTGCTGCACAAGCACTCCAAATCAACGTGATGAAAGCTAAGATCCAAAGAGTTAGTGTTAATAGCAAATGTAAACTTTCCAAGAAAAAAATGAAATTGTCTCACACCTCATCACCAAATGTCCAAAGACGAGTTAAAATGGAGAATATT